TAAAATGCAGCAGACTGCTCCACAGTAAATCCGGCATGAGCAGAAGTGCACGCACATGATAAGCCCCGTGCAGAAGATACTGGGCAAACAGAACGTGGTTGGCCATTATTAGATACCCATGCAGCCCTCTTGTGTGTGACCTCAGTGTGCTGTTCCCTCCCACCACTGTCTCCAGGCCTGTGAAGAAGGGACTGTATTAGGAACAGTTGGTGTTGGGATTTCCAGGGCCACATGGTGCATGCAGTCCTGAAGTATGCTGGGGCACATGGATGTATGGGGAGTGATGCCTGCAGTGGTTAACCTCTGCCCATTCACAGAATCCCACAGCCTGTGAGCTTGTCGCCCCAGATAAACCAAAGAACCTCAGAAAATGGCTGTGGTGTTAACTAAGTGAAGCCTCCTTTAAAGGTGATGTCAGCATCTACCACAAGCCTGACTCCCAAATCTACAGAAGGCTCATCCATGAGTGCACCTCCCTGGGGAAGGAAGGTGAGTTCTTCACCAGATTCACAGAGCTCCAGCATAACTTCCTGAAGAATCGTCCACCCAAGATGAAGAATCTCAATCGCCGGGTCAAGCACCGGTACCAACTGGTATGTCGTCTGACTGAACCACTGTGGTTTCTGTTTATACACAGCTGGATACAGGGCCAGAGAAAAGCAGGTGCTATTCTAATTTGCTTTCTATTGACATGATATTTTATCACATGGCCAAAAGTCTCTTGGGAAGGAAAGGTCTTACTAGGTTACACATCCCAGCCACAGCCCATCACTGAGGAAGTCAGGGCAGTACCTGAAGCAGAGACCATGGAGGAATGCTGCTCACTGGCTTGCTCTCCATGGCTCATGCAGCTTGCATTTATGTACACTCCAGGGTCACCTGCCCAGGTATGGCACCAGTCACAGTAGGCTGTCCCTCCCTCAGTAATATGCCCCACAGGGCAGTTTGATAGAAGCATTTTCTCATCTGTGAGTCCATCTTCTCAACATGAATCTAGCTTATGCCAGGTTCACAAAAGGAAAACAAAAGGAACACAAGGGGTGAGAAAATAGAAAATGAGAAGGAAAAGAGGGGAAAGAGAAGCAGAAGGGGAGGGTTTGAGAGAAGAGAAGGAAAGGGGAGACAGCAGGGGAAGGTGCTGCTGTAGGACGGAGAAGGGAGGGAGAGGGGAGCTGGAGGAAGAAGGACTTTCCACGCTTGTTCCAGTAGGTGTCTTCTAGTCCACTTTCCTGTAGTATGTGGGACTGGCTTGTTGAGGTATCTGTCCTGCCCAGTACCCCACAGCAGGCAGGCCCCAAAGAAAATCACGCACAAGACTCCATAAGATTATAAACTGATTGGCTCATTAGGTCAGGCTTCTTGTTAACTCTTATAACTTATATTAACCCATTATTCTCATCTATGTTAGCACATGGCTCCATACCTTTCTCAGCTGGGCAAGTTACATGCTGCCTCTTCAGTGGTCTGCGCAGGAGTGCTGCTGAGGAACTTCTCTGCTTCCCAGAATTCTCCTGTTCTCATTGCATCACTTCTACTTCCTGTCTGGTTTTCCCGCCTATACTGCCTGCCTGGCCAATCAGCATTTTATTAAAATATGATTGACAAAATACAGACAATTCTCCCACATCACTTTCCGGTCAGCCTACTCTCTTCAGCCATGTCTGGTTCAGCCCTGAGTGTGTGTGTGTGTGTGTGGTTACCTGCCTCTCTGTGTCCAGTGTTTCTCATGTGCACCCCTGCTGTGGCACAGGGTAGGGAACAGAACAGAGACCCCACGTACTGAATAACGGGACTGAGGAAGCCTCATTGACCGTGTTTCCAATCTGTCAAACGGGACCTCACGACAACTGTATCTAACTCAGTCACTGTGAGGGCTGCTGAAATGTCATCTTGTAATGCCAGCTCAGCTCTGTGGGGTGTACACTTGTGTTAGTGAGTGTGCTCTGCATTTAATTTAGGGAGGTGTTATGAAATGGCAGGAGATTGGACCTTTGTGGGCCAAGGGGTGACATGGCAGGTGAGAGAGAGACACACCATTCGGACAGGGCTGACGTGGGGAGTTTTATTGGAGGAAGGGAAGGGAGAGAGAGAAGAGAGGAAGCACAGAGCGACCTTGTGGGAAGAGAGAAAAGGAGAGAGAAAAAGAAACGGAGACAGAGAAAGAGGAAGAAGAGATAGAAGTAGACAGAGTTCTGCCTTTTAACAGAACAGGGTCCTGCCTAGGTGGCACACTCTGTCAGGTATACAAGGTCCAGGGCCATATGTGCCTGGATGCTAACGTTCTTCCCTTTTATTTATTAAAAGGTTGAGAAGTTAGGTGTGGCAGGTTAGGGAAATTAGGGCACGAGTTCTCAAGACTGCTTCCTGCTGGTTCATGGGGTGTCAACCATATGTGGGGAACCTGAGAAAGCTGGAGTGCTGGCCACGTCCTGGGGTAGCTGGTGGTTCCACTGCTGTCCAGGATCTATGGAACTATCTGTGCCTCTTGGACCTGGAAACATGCTGTGAGAGCAGAGGACAAGGTTCATCTGAGGGAAAATTTTTTCTTAGATTCTGGTCATTGAGAGAGGGGAGCCTTAAGACCAGGGACAGGTGGGGAGACACAGGCTAGGTGAAGGTTCTATGGTGATATGCAAGATATTCATCAGTGTGGCTATAGGATAAGGCCAGTTCAGGTGACTTCTCCTCAGCTGCCCAAGGAACAAGCTGGGAACATCTCCTTGAACACCTGAGAACCCCTCTAGAGTCAAGTCTCTTGCCAACCCTAAAATGGCTCCCTTAATTAAGATATCTACTTCCCTGCTCCCATATCCACCCTTCCTCCATCCCAGACCCAAAAAGATGAATATGGTATGTACTCACTCATAAGTGGATTATAGCCATAAATAAAAGACATTGAGCATATAATTCATGATCCCAGAGAAGCTAAATAAGAAGGTGAACTCAAAGAAAAGCATATAGTTATCCTCCTTGATATTGGAAGTAGACAAGATTGCCAGGCAAAAATTGGGAGCTTGGGGGTGGGGTGGGGGTAAGGGGAGATGAGGAGAGAGAAGGGAGAAGGGGAGGATGGGGAGTGAAAAGGACCTTTTAAGTCTATAGTTAGGAAACAACCAAAGGGAACTCAAAATCCTAGTTTGTGGCTATAATAATATAGTGGTATAGTCCAGTGGCTAGCCTGAGCTAGATCAATAGCTTATCAGAATTTTCTTGATTACTGTTAAGACTATGAGCATTTGGAGTTTAGTGTAGCAGCAGCAGCAGCAGCAGCAGAGGAGAGAGAGAGAGAGAGAGAGAGAGAGAGAGAGAGAGAGAGAGAGAAATCTAGAACATGGTTCTTTCTTTTAAATGTCTCAAATCACTTTCTCTTTATCAGCTCTCAAGCCTTTTTCCTCAGAGCTTTGTAACTTGCACTTACACACATTGATAACCTGCATCTGCCCACCTCAAAACACCTTCTTAGACCCTAAAACATTCCGAGATCCTCATATCTTAAGCTTTTCAATCTTTACAGAAGTGACCCTTAAAGCACCTGTCCCTTCCCTGTCATCATGGCGTCTCCCTAACACTCGGGAGAAATCTATTTTGTGAGTTTTTCTTTCTGAGTCTGGGAGCAAGGTGGACTGTGTCCAGACTTAGTATTAGCTCCAGGGGAGCGAGGCCTGGGACCTGAATTTTTACACAGAGAGCTGAGAAGGCGGCTGAAGCCTTGGATGCTGCTGTAAAAGTGGCAGAGTTGTCAAACAGCGTCAGAGTCCTGAGAGGAATAAATTTTACCTGAATTAATTATTTAAAATGACAGAGACTTACTTGCTTGGCTACCTAGGCGGTCACCACAAGGTTCCCATGGTCGCAGAGGTTTCAGGACAGCATCCATCTTCTGGCTGGCAGGCCTGCAAGCCCCAGAAGATCCCGCAGGCTTCTGTGGAGTAAGGACTCGGAGGAGGAGGAGCAGCCCACCCTTGTTCTAGGCAACTTGAGGCAGTCCGTTCTCCAGAGCTCCATTGATCACAGTCTGAAGAGGGTTTCGCAGCAATGGAGGTGAAAGGCGTTTGTTTTCCTCAGTGGCTAGCGCTGCCACTTATGAAGCAAGTTCCAGGTGGAGGTTCTTCTGTGCAGATCCATCTTCTTTGGAGGAAATGGGGGCGGTGCCAGGAGCTGGCATGACTCTTTTTTATGCAAAGGCTTTTAGTTAAACATTTTAAATGCAATATTCTGCAGATCTCTGAGCATTTGAGGACTTCTGAGTAGTTATTTGTTTTCTAACAATAAAAACTTACAATAATGAAAGTCACACAGTAGGGGAGGGAATAATCTCCTAAGTTTAGTTTACACCCGATTTAATTTAATTTTGCTTTGTTAGGTCTCCCTTGTAAACAGCTCACAGGAAGGACAGGGTGGTATACATCTCTAAGTTAGCTTTTGTTAATCTGAAATAGATCTTTATAATTGTAATTTTATCATTATATAGAATATAGTTTAAGGTAGAGTTGAATCACATATATAGTATGCTGTAGCAGATCAAACCATATGTTTTTATCATTATCTAAAACTACATGCTAACTTAAAGTACTTTAGACTTTTTTCTTAGTCTAGAAGGAGATACCATGAACGGAGCTCATTAGGACTGTTTAGAGCATTTTCTTAGCAATAGCTACATATACACACAGAGAGAGTTAAAGCTAATTTACACATACACATATAGGGTTAAATCTAAATCATATGCACACATACACATACATATTAGACAGGATTTGAGAAAATTAGAAAGGGAGAACCAGTGTGTGTTGAGCAAGACAAAGACTTCTCTGTCTCTGTCTCTCTCTCTGTCTCTCTGTCTCTCTCTCTCTCTCTCTCTCACACACACACACACACACACACACACACAGCCATAAAGACTTATGTCCGTCATTCTGAGTCTGGCTTATCTCTCCTACCATGAGGAGATCCAGAACCATCTGTTCCCTACATAGGTCCTGATTTCACGCTCGGGGCTGAATAGTATTCCATTGCGCATGGGCAGGCTGCACATGGGCAGGCTGCGCATGTGCAGGCGTTCTCATCTCCCTGGGTGGTGGACCCCTAGGCTGTTGGGCCTGGACTGCTGGCCATGGCTCTGCCTGTCGCCAGTCATTCTCATCATTGTCTTTCAGGGCGGCTTCTCGGGAAAAGGCACAGCTCTCAAGGGCAGGTCAGATGCCGACCTGGTGGTGTTCCTTAACAATCTCTCCAGCTTCGAGGACCAGTTAAATCGACGCAGAGAGTTCATCCAGGAAATTCAGAAACAGCTGTGTACATTGCAGTGTGAGGAACACATTAGAGTGAAGATTGATGTTCTGACTTCACGTTTGCCCAACCCCCAGGCACTCGGCTTCACACTGCACTTCCCCCGACTTCAACAGGAGGTGGAGTTTGATGTGCTGCCAGCCTATGATGTCCTGGGTAAGGCAGGCAGAGCCTCAGCAAGCCCTTCCATCCTTCATCTTTCATGTTTTCCTGCGTGTGTGTGTGTGTGTGTGTGTGTGTGTGTGTGTGCGTGCATGTGTGGGGATGTTCACACATATGCAGATCTATGCACATGTTTGCAGGTGTGGCTAAAGACCAGAGGCCAGTCTTGGATGTCGGTTACTTAGGAGCTGCCTTTGCAGAGAGGCTGACCTGGGATTTGCTGGCCCACCTTGGTGGCTCTGGCAGTATGCAGCTGGGGGCAGTGGGGTGTGAGCTCTGATGGAGCTGCACCCCAACCTCAGGCAACCTGGAGCCTAGGCATGTTTATTAGGTACAACACAGGGTCGGGGAGGGGCTGGCTGGTCATGTAGTTGGTGTCTGTAGGAGAGGACTCTCGGGCTGTAAACAAATATACTCAGATATATTCAGGTCTTCACTCAGGCTTCCTCCACTCCCTACAAGACAGCCTGGTTTGTTTGTCTGTCTGCATGTTTTGAGATAGGTTGACCTTTGACCTGGAACTGGCTGATTTTGTGTGTGTGCCCCAAAATTACAAATTGTCCCACTCTACCCAAAGACAACCTGGAACACCCATGAAAGCGCGGTGGAGGCTTGGGAAGCTTAGAGAATGGTTGAGGCTTTACATTTGTGGGACACAGCTCCCCCTGTTGACCACTGTGTGAACTGCTGTTATTAACTTAAAGCTATAGAAACAGCAGAGTCTCAGGCAGAGAATGAGAGACCAGTCTGGGAGTAAGAGCAGGGCAGCATGTGGTGGAAAGCTGCAGGAGGCTTGGATACCTGCTGAAAGGAAGGGGTGCAGAGGGGGTGACCCAGAAATGAGCTGGAAGGTGACTCCCCAGAAGCCTGTCTGGGTCATGGACATCCCCAGCCTCAGCAGCTTTCCAGTAGGGAAGTGGGGCCACCACAGAAGGACCCCCTAGGAAATGACGGTGAGTGACAGCCCAAGAGAGGACCTCACTCACAACTCTACCCAAGATGACTTAGTCGATGCCCCATTGTGTGGTGGACCTTAAAGTTGAAACTCTCCCGGGTCACTGAGTGATTTTGCCATGCGCCAGCATCAAGGCCTGATGGTAAGGTCTGCCACAGCCGTGGCCACACACGTGCACACGCCTAGGACACAGCCTGCTGCCTGTCTAGTCTACACAAATGTGCACATGCACCCACACACAGTCACACAGCCATATGTGTTCCCTAGCCTGCTGCCTAACCACTTTGCAAGCTCAGGACACGCACATGCACACGCACACGCACACGCACCCTACTACTCTGAAGACCTGGACAAACAAAACCATGTAATATTCATTTAGGTACAACAGAAAGTCATCCAGTGAAAACACACAGTGGCTGGGGAGACAGCTCAGTGGATAAAGGCTATTGCTACACAAGCGTGAAGACCTGAGTTCAAATCCCCAACACTCACTTAAACAGAAAAGACCACCGAGACAGGGGAATCTCTGTGGTCTGCTGGTCTTCTCAAAGGGAGACACCTTATGTCTTCCCAAGACATCTTAACATATGTGTATACTTTCTCTCAAACATACACAAACAATATATACACCAGACAAAAATAGGGCAGAGACACCGTAAGCATGAGGTCCAATGATAGAAAATGCAGCAGACTGCTGTGCAGTAAACTCTGCACAAGCAGGCATGTCCACACCTGACATGCACCGTGCAGAAGTTACTGGGCACAGAGCATGGCTTGCCATTCTTAGATGACTGTGCAGCTCTCTTGTGTGTGACCTCAGTGTGCTGTTTCCTCCTACCGCTGTCTCTCGAACAAGTTGGTGGCAGGAACTTTCCAAATGTATGCAGTCCTGAGGTGAGGGATGACACATCGATGTGTGGGGAGTGAGGCTTGCTGTGGTAAAACTGTGCTTGATTCGCTGAACCCTACAGCCAGTAAGCTTGTCACCCCCAAGATAGACCAAAGAACCACAGAGAAGGGCTGTGCTATTAGCTGAATGAAGCTTTCTTGACAGGTCAACTCAACTACATCAAGCCTGACCCGCAAATCTACAGCAGGCTCATCCATGAGTGCACCTCCCTGGGGAAGGAAGTCGAGTTCTCCACCTGCTTCACCGAGCTCCAGAGAAACTTCCTGAAGCGTTGTCCAACCAAGCTGAAGAGTCTCATCCACCTGGTCAAGCACTGGTACCAACTGGTATGGCATCTGGTCTGGCCACTGTGGGCCCCATCTTACAGAGGCAGAGAATGGAAGGGGTGATGAAGAGGAAGAAAGATGAGGAGTAAGCTGGGAGGGAGGAGTGGTGGGAAGAGAAAGAGAGTTGAGAGGTGAAGGGGAAGTCAGGGAGGAGATGCTGTAGGAGAGGGAGGGAGGAGGGAGGGAGGAGGGAGGGAGGGAGCACCTGTGAGGAAGGAGGACTTCCTGTGCTTGTTAGGAATGATTTCTTCTAGTCCGGTTTCCATCCAACTAACTCACTCTTCAGCTGCATCTAATTCATTGTTCACGTGTCTTTGTGAACTCTGGGTTTCTCTTTCTTTCTTGTATTATTTAGAGACAGGGTCTCACTAGGAAGCTACTGATGTCCTGAAATCCACTATGCACACCAGGCTGGCCTTGAACCCACAGTTCTGCCTACCTCTGCCTCCCATTGCTGGGATAAAAGGTGTACACCATCTCACCCTACCTTATCTGTGGATTTCTAGTTCTTTCTTCCTTTTTCTGTTTTCTTTTTTTAACATGCACTGGTACCTACTATGGCTTAGATTTTCCTGATGTGTCAAGCTAGGCTTTCTTTACATATCCATCCTACAATATTTCTGGAGTTTTTATATGTGTATGATATAGATCTGGTGTGGGTATATGTATACCTGTTCTTGGGAGCACCTGTCTATGTGTGTGCATAAGCATGTGGAGGCCAGAGAGCAATGCCAGGTCCTCAGTCACTCCCCACCTTTTGTGTACAGACAGGGTCTCACCCTCGAGCCCACGGTGTGCTGAATCAGCAGTTCTGGACGGTCATATAGTCCTGAGGACCCCCATTTCCATCCACTTAGGCTGGGATGAGGAGTGGGTTTCCTCACAAGCCTGACCTTCACGTGCTTGCTGGAATCTGAGCTCTGGTTCTTACTCTTGCAAGGAGAGGGTGGCACTTTACCCACTGGGCCATCTCCCTAGCATGTTCCCAGTTATTTCAGAGCCTGTGATAAAACCATCAGTGGAGAGCACCATTATTATCCCGCCCCTACCCTCACTCCATGGCTGTCAATCACTATGTCACGATTCCTCCTGTGCCTGCTGGTAAATGCTCAGTCTCTGTGGACCACACGGTCTCTATCTCAACCACACAGCCCTTGGTTTTAGCATGGTAGTGCACATAGACCAAATCTACAAGGTCGGGTATGACCATGTGTCAATAACCTTTAATGACAACATCTGGTGGCAGCTGGACTGACCCCGTGAGAAGTGGTCCCACACAACAGCCCACAGGCCCATTTCTCTCATCGCCTTTCTCTTCTCAGTGTAAGGAGAAGCTGGGGAAGCCGCTGCCCCCACAGTATGCCCTGGAGCTGCTCACAGTCTACGCCTGGGAATGTGGGAGTGGAAACACTGAGTTCAGCATAGACCAGGGCTTCCGGACAGTCTTAGAACTGGTCACCAAGTACAGGCAGCTTCTAATCTACTGGACAAAGTATTGTGACTTTCAAGACCAATACATCTCCATCTACCTGCTGAGTCAGCTCAGAAGAGCCAGGTAGACTGTCTCCTCATGGCTCAGCTCCTCATAGGAGGACCAGGCTGTAGCAGTGGAAATGGGGAGGTGGGAGCTCCGTGTCAATGGAGCATCTCCCGTCCTGTCACTGTGCTGGGCACTGTCCTGCTGTCACCTGATCCACATGAGAACCCTGGGAGGCAGGGGCGGGTTCTCCTGTCTGCAGATGAGGAGGCCAAGGCTCTGACCTTGTCCAGACCCAAACAGTAGAGAGGGGGGAAGTGCATGGAGCGGACACTGAGATGTTCCAGCTGTAACAGTGTCGTAAGGGCTGCGAGGCATAGAACAGTGCTAGGCGCTGGGTAGTGGTAGCCTACACCTTTAATCCCAGCACTCGGGAGGCAGAGGCAGGTGGATCTCTGTGAGTTTGAGGCCAGCCTAGTCTACAAGAGCTAGTTCCAGGACAGGCTCCAAAAGCTACAGAGAAACCCTGTCTTGAAAAAAAAAAACAAAACCCAAAAAACGAAACCAAACAAAAGAACAGTGCTGGACTAATTAACTGTTAACAATACAGTAGACTTGTCACAGTCTTGATCCTGTGCTGTGTTCTAACCTCACACCTCATCATTTGAGATGGGCTGGTCCAACTCTTTCCATTTCCCAGACCAGAGAGACCGAGGGACCTGACCCAGGACACACAGCTACTAAAGGGTAGAGGATTGGAACACAGCCCTTCCAAATCATGTCCAGGGATCTCTCCAGGCTTTCGCTATGGTATGGGACACTAACTCAGGACAAACTTTCGATAGCGGAGCTCTACTGGGCTCCTCCTCTGTCCCTGTGCAGTGGTATCTGTGGCACTGGTCAGCTGGTCAGTTCCCTCTCTGAATGTTTCTCTGCAGGCCTGTGATCCTGGACCCAGCTGACCCAACAGGGAACGTGGCTGGTTTGAACTCAGAGGGCTGGCGGCAGCTGGCTGAAGAGGCTGTAGCCTGTCTGCAATACGCATGCCTTAAGAGATGGGATGGTTGCCTAGGGGGATCTTGGAATGTGCCGGTGAGAACTTATCATCTTTTCCCTTTGCACACATATCTGGTCACACCATCTATTTCAAGAATATTCAGACAAAATATGGATTTTCCAAAGATGCCCAGACTTATAGGTTTTCCTGCCACACTGATTGCTTTATAGTTGTTCTCAGAGATTGTCACATCACCCCTGCGGAGTTCTTGTCACTTGGCCTCCTAAGGAAGGGCAGCCTCTGCTCTGACTGTCTGCTTTGTGTTCAGGCTCCTTCCTGCACTCTTTATTATACACTGGATCCTCCACATGCTCTGTCCAGTGTTCTTTATCATGCAGTATCTCACTGGATCTGCACACACACTTATCCTGTGTTCTGTATCATAGAATAGCTCACTGGATCCTCAGTAGGGCTCTACGAGGTAGATCTAATAACATTTTTGTCTTTGGTTGAACAAGAAGGCTCAGGGCTGGGGATATGGTTTAGTCAATAAACACTTGTCACATAAGCAAGGAAAAGGAGTTTAATATCATCCCCAGGATCAGGGAAGTGAGTCAGACAATGCACTTGCCATTCCAGTGCATGGACAACAAGATCCCTGCCCTGGCTGGAGAGGGAGCATAGTCTCCTTGGTGAATTCCAGTCCAGTGCAACCCGAATGCAAAGGTGGACAGCGGTTGAGGACTATAGTGTTCTCTGTTGATTGTGCACACACAAATACACACATACATATATTCACATGCAAATGCATGTGTACTCAGAAACACACACACACACACACACACACACACACACACACACACACGAGGCCACTAGGATAAGAGAGCTGAAGCTGGCTCAGGGATGTTCAGCTAAGGAGAGGAAAGACTGGAATTCCTGTAAACTTTGAAGCCAGTGTTCAGGTCCTTGAAGCAGCCCATCTTTCCTGTCTCTGTAAAAGGAAAGTGGTGGTGGGCTGTGCTCCCGCTGCCCTGCTAGCTTTACCCGAAATAATTATACGGAAACTGTATTCATTTAAACACTACCTGGCCCGTTGTCTTCAGCCTCTTATTAGCTAACTCTCACATTTGATTAACCCATATCTAATAATCTGTATGTCACCATAAGGTCTTGGCTTATTGGCATGAGTCTAGCCAGCATCTGTCTCGGGAAGGGGAATCATGGCGTCTGCCTCATTGCCTTCTCCCAGCATTCTGTTCTGTCTACTCCACCCACCTATGTTCTGACCTATCAGGCCAAGCAGTTTCTTTATTAATTAGCCAATGAAAACAACAGAAATACAGAAGACTCTCCTACATCATGTCTCATCATCATGTGACCAATGGGACTCAGCAGGGCTATGTCACAGCCAAAGAGACACAGAGGGACTTGTACCAGGACCTTTCCTCTCACTGGACAGGGAACTTCTGATGCTAGGGAACAGATGAGGTCATGCATGGATTCAGAATGGAGCTTAGCATGAGTGCATGGATGTGGGAAGCAAACTTCAGGTCAGGAAGGAAAGGAGAATTGACCCAGGAGGGAGACAGCTGTGGCTGCTGTGGCCTTTAGGACTGTCACACAGCAGACTGTGGCTTGGCCCTGTCTCTCATTTTAACAGATCTGTTACTGAATGAGGGGAACTCAGGTAGGGCTATGTACACTTTCAACAGGCTAAGACCCTGTCCCTCCCCAAAAGTCCTAACTGCCATCTTCACAACATGGAGATGTACTGTCCCTTCTTCTGAGGGGCTCCAGGTGGCCAGTCATGGTGCCCACTCCGAGAGATCATTTGTATCTGCTTCCAAATAGCAGTGCAGGCTTATGATATGATCATGTGTTTTCTGTTCCAGACCGAAGTTCCTGTGCCAGTGAGCAAGCCAGTGTGTAACAATAACAGGTTAGTTATTTTTCTTTGTTGTTTTTGTTTTGTTTGATGTGGGCTTTAGCTACGTAGACCAGGATGGCCTGGAGCTCACCATTCTCCTGCCTCAGGGCTGGAATGACTGCATTGTAGGTCTGATGTGCTCTGCTTTTCCTTCTTCCTCGGGTGAAGGAGAACGGGGCATTCGTCTCCTGTGAGCGCAGCAGCATCTGCCCAGAAGGCTCCGGAGTCAGGGGATGTATGTGCTCCTCTGCTGCAGGCCTTGACCAGAGAGGGCAGGATGCTGCCCAAGGCCCCAAAGGGAGACAGTCCAACCTGGGGTCAGACTCCAGGCTTCTGACCCCTGCCTGCCCACCCTTCCATTCTGTCCCATCATGGACAGCCTTCCTCATCCACCTTATCCTCTGACAGCTTCTCTGGGGGACAAGAGATTCGGAAGGGGAGGGGAGAACTCAAGCTTGACTTCTGTCTATGCACCTGTTCTGTCCAGTGTCTGATCAACAACAATAAACCACAGCAGATGCCATGAGGGTGTGTGAAATGAGCCATAGTACAGCTCTCTCTCTTTTCTCTCTCTCTTTCTTTCTCTCTCTCTCTCCCTCCTTCCCTTCCTCTTTCCTTCTCCCTCTCTCCCTCCCTCCCTCTCCCCCCTCCTCTCTCTCTCTCTGTGTTTTTTTCATGATTCAGCTAGATGCATTTATTGAACACATACTACTTGGTCCAGGGTCCAGGCACTGAGCGCTCATCAGTGGACAGAGCAGAACTAATCCATAACAGCTATGATGTCACATGGATTGGGATCCTTCCAGGTTTCTTATATACAAACTCAAGAGAGTATCCTTGGTTCCTTCTGTCCATGTCCCCAAGGCAAGACTCAAGACCTGCCCCATCTGACTCAGATGCTGTTCTGCAGCTGCACATGGCTATGGGGACCTGGGAGTGTGAGCAGTGCACATGAAGATGTATGGTGGCTGCAGCATGCAGGCTGGGGTTTGAAGAGGTGCATGACAAAAATGAACTGAATTTGTGACTCTGGTCGTCACAAAAACAGACACATGGTTGTCTGTGGTGATGATGAACTTTTGATGCACTGAGTTAAATCACAATGGGTGTCTGCTTCCTTTTTCTCTTTCTGAGACAAGACCTCATTATGTGGCATAGTCTTATCTGGAACTCACAGGCATCCCCCTGCCTCAGTCTCCCGAGTTCTGGAAACACACACTCCACACAGAGACCTAATGGTTCCATAGTTCAGGATTGTGAACCAGCGGCTCATTTGTCAAATCCAAAGACAACCATGTGTGCTCAACTCTTGTACCCTGCTTACTTAAGAGTTCAGGGTATTGCACAGGGTACCTGCTCCCAAAGCCTGCTCCTGTCCCCAGTGCCCACTCTCTTAATAACTGTGTGTGTGTGAGTGTGTGTATGTGTGTTTGTGTGTGTGTGTGTGTGTGTGTGTCCTTCCAGGCCTTGTTCATTCAGTTCTTGCTCTAATAGTCCTGAAACCAGGAGGCCCAGTGTCCCGGAGTGCGAGAAGATACATGTACCCTAGACCTCAGAACAAATCACACCCTGCACTGTGCTCTATCTGAGCCCCTGGTGACCCTGATGATGCTGATCTACGATTCCAGTCTTGCCTCTTCTGAAACACCCCCAGATACACAGAGAAGGTTTTAACAACCAATGCCCAGGGATCCCTCATATATCCTGCCAACCTGAGGGGACCCCTCATGTACCTCACACTAGAAAGCAAGTCTACATGGGATATATAATGACTGCATCCCATGTCTCTATGATGAAATGACCCCTTGTGTGGACCTTCAGAACCTTCCCAATGATAAGGACCACAGAGTCAGACAGCAGGCTACAGGAATGAGTGATGAGCTACCTTAGGGAGGAGCCAAAAGGTGGCTGGCTCAGGTTTCCATGACAGCAGGGTGACTGAAGATCATCTCTCAGATAGAGTAAGAAGACCACAACTGACACTTTCATACACTGTGACAGCCATGTTGAGCAGTGTCATGCTTGCTCCAGACAGGACCTACCCAAAAGCCCTTTGGCCCTAAGCATAGTGTTCATCCACGCTCTTCCTGTGGGTGTCATCTTGGTTCTGACTTAGCATCCATCCTGGCCAGGGGAATGGCAGGGCTTGATGACCAGACACTTTGGGTTTTCAAGCCCAGTCTTCAACTTTAATCTTCTGCCCAAGGTTGGGAGCTCCTCCTCTCCAGGGCCCACCCACTGAGTAAGGAGTGTGGGTCCATTAGGGGAAGCATGACTCTGTCCACCATTTGACCACAGGGTCCGGCTCCCCAGGAAGCCACTTAAGCTACACTCAATGGGTTCAACTCTGAAACTCAATTCAGGTCAGTAACTGGAGGGAGGGGTTGGGGAGGGAGCTGCTGTGACAGCCACTGCCTTCAGCCTCTAGTTTGTGGTTCCTTCTAATGGCCCACAATAGCTCATCTTCATGACCTAGACCCTCTGTGGAAACACCTCTGGGCATGTTGAGGGCATTTATAGAAATGTCTGCTGACGGCTTCCTTCACTGATCAACACTCCAGTCTGCCGCCAGTGCCCCTCCCCATCTGTGGAGTTTCCTCTGGATTCCCATGGCCTGAACCTTGTTTGGGAAGATCAGCTATTAGAATGGTCAAGTGGCTTCTGACCAGGTTACCAGGAACACATAACAGGGAAGAAGGGCTCTTCTGCAGAGGGAATTGGGGAAGCTGGCTCTCCACTGACAGGAATAAATCCCACCCTCACCTTGGGCATGTACGAAGGCCATCCAAAATGGAAGCAGAGAATCGCTAGAAAACAGAGAACAGCTTAGCCACAATAACCTCATCTGTTTTCTTGGTTCTGACATCAAAACCACAGACAACTCAGGATGATTCTTTTATGCCAGGCCTCATGCATGCTGGGTAAGCACTCGCCACTGAGCCACACCACGGTCTCTCGCTGGAACACCCCAGACAAGTCCTTCCCAGCTGAGCCACACCCTTGTTACCTTTCTGCTCTCACACAAGGAAGCCATTCCTTCATGGAGACATGTCTCCTGTGGACTTGCTTTAGCGTGGAGTACATGCACGATGGGGGCCCTCATCTTGGTAGGAGACATGGGAGACGCCTGGGCGTTGTTGATTCAAACCTTTGTGTATCTGGTGTTTCAGAAGGGGGGTGTTTCAGAAGGGGCAAGACTGAAATCATAGGCAGCTTCATCTGATTGTGACCATGCCCTGGATCTTCCATTTCTTCCATCTTGGGATAAAGAAGTATTTAACTTGTGTTTTTAATGTTATAGGAGCCCACAGTTGAGACTAATCTTTATAAGTGTTGACATTAAAAAGAATAAAACACTTTGGGACTTTTAAAGCTATGTTGTGTTGTAGGAGGTGATATTGACTTGAGATCTTAGGGATAAGTAAGAAAGGAAATGATGACTTAATAGTAGTGTGTTTGAGTATCAAATTGAAAGGGCCTTATTTGTGAAGGTTAGTTTTGTCATTTAGACCTCAGATAGGGTCATCTAGTAGGAGGGAACCTTAATCAAGAAAATAACTGTACATACTTGGTACGGCTGGTCTTTGTGGGCATGTTCCTGATTAGTGATTGATGGGTCTAGTGCCATGCCTGGTCAGGAGGCCATGGGCTGTATAAAAAAGGAAGCTCAGTGACCATGGAGAGCAAGCCAGTGAGCAGAATTCCTCCATGGTCTCTGCTTCAGTTACCGACCGTTCTTCCCTCAGTGAAGGACTGTGACTGGGATGGATAACCTAATAAGACATTTTCTTCCCAGTAGAGTTTTGTTCATGTGATAAAGATATCCTGTCAAAAAAAAAGCAAACTAGAACACCCTTTCTACCCTCTGACTGTATTCAGTCGCTGTATAGACAGGGCTCACAGTGGATGGGCCAGACGCCATACCAGCTGGTACCAGTGCTTGACCAGGTGGATGAGACTCTTCACCTTGGGTGGTCGATCCATCAGGAAGTTATGCTGGAGCTCTGTGAAGCAGGTGGAAAACTTGCCCTACAGCCCCAAGGAGGTGCACTTCCTGATGAAATTGGTGTAAATTTCAGGGTCAGGCCTGTAATTGTTTCTGGCGTGACCTGTAAAGGAAACCTCACTCAGTTAACCCTCCTGCCTTCTCTGGGCTTCCTTGCTCCATCTAAGGAGTGACAAGCTCCCAAGCTGTGGGGTTCAGAAAACGGCAGAGTTTGACCACAGCGATCATCACTCCCCACACATCTGTGTGATCCATCACATCTTAGGACTGCATATACCTGTGGCCCTGGAAAGTCCCTGCCACCACTGGTCCTAATGCAGTTCCTTCTCCACAGGCCTGGAGACGGTGGTGGGAGGGAACCGCTCACTGTGCTCACACACAAAAGAGGTGCACAGCCATCTAATAATGGCCAACCACATTCTGTGTGCTCAGTATCTTCTGCACGGAGCTGGCCATGTGTGCTGGAGTCAGATTCACTGTGGATCAGTCTGTTGTATTTTATATCACCTATATCACACTTCCAATGTCTCTGCCCTGTTTTGTGTATGTATTGTGCTGTGAGTTTGTCAGGAGGTACATACATGTGTGCAGAGCCCAGAGGAGGACATAAAGCCTCTCTTGTTAATTTTCAAATCCAGGACAAACTGAGGGGCCTATTTAGCATACCAAAGTGAACCTAGCAGCCAGGCTCTCCCAGCATCCTTCAGTCCCTATCTGTCGCACTCCCTCCTGATCAGCATACCCACCCCCTACCCTGAATGTTTCAGTCCAGTGGGCTGGACTGCTCTTCCTTATATAAATCGAACATTTTGATTACTCACCCCTTTAATACCTTTGCCCTCATGGCTACTGCACCTGGTCCCCACTCTCCCCTCTCCCTTTTCTCCCCCTCTCCACACATTGCCCAGCTCAGTCTGAACATGTCCACTCTGGACTCTCCCAGATGTCCCTGTCTTTGCCTCTGCTCTGCTTTTTGTCTTCAATCAACTTTCTCCTCCCCAATTCCTAGGAGCAGCCAAGTCCTTTTCTTCTTTCTCTCTCTCTCTCTCTCTCTCTCTCTCTCTCTCTCTCTCTCTCTCTTTCTTTCTTTCTTTCTTTTTAAATTCATCTCTCTTCATTGTTTGTCATCTTTATCCCTTCAAGACAGGGTCTCTCTGTGAAGATGGAACTTGAAGGGTATCCAGCAGGTCCACAGAGATTCTCCTGTCGCTGCCTCAAGTACAGTCTGGGTTAGAGGTCAGTGTGTGGTCCTTTCTGTTTGCGTTGGTGTTGGGGTTTGAACTCAGGTCCTCATGGCTTGTGCAGCAATTGCCCTCATCCAATGAGCTGTCTCCCCAGGCATTGTGTGTTTTCAGTGCATGATTTTCTGCAGTACCTAACTTAATAAAATGTGGGCTTTGTTTAGGTCCTGAGAGCAATAAGAAGAAGTGTGTGTGTAAGTGTGTGTGTGTGTGTGTGTGTGTGTGTGTGTGACATGAACTTGTAGAGTGGATGGGCAGCAGGATAAGGATTAGCTGTGGCTGTGTGGCTGTGTGGGTGCATGTGCACATCTGAGTAGACTAGGCAGGCAGCAGTCTGTGTCTTAGGTGTGTGCACGTGTGTGGCTGTGGCTACAGCATGCCATACCATCAGGGTTTGGTCCATCCTTGGGCAGAGTTGGTCCCACTATTGCCAAATCCGCTCTCTTGGTGTCCTTTCTGGGTGTCAGGTCTCCCGGTGGCCCTGCCACAGAAGGTGGTGTAGGATGCAGCTTCTCCTGCATCTCTGTGGCATCCGGTATCGGGGCTAATGATGTTGTTGTCCAGCGGAACCCACCATCTAAAGACAGAAAGAGATGGACCATTAGTGGAGTCAAGCTAGAAGCTTCCAGGATGGGGTGGTCTTCCCAGAGGTGGCCTTGCGGGTCACACAAGGCCTGATCATGCCAGAGAATCCCCACTCCCCTCTCCCCACAAGACATATATCTGACGATGTCCTGTAGTTGCTTTTGGTCTTTTCGGTTTTTATTTTATTTACTCTTTGGCAGCCCACCACTAAGCTCCCAAATAAATACACGGATATTTACTACTTCTTATGAATAGATGGCCTAAGTGTAGCTTTTGTCCATTCGGCTTCCCTAACTGAAATTATCCTGTTTAAACGTTTTGCCTGTGGGCATTTTACATTTATTTATTCAATATATCCTTCTTTTTTTATTACTTCGTGGATGGCTCTGTGGCTGTGTGGTTGTGTGACTATGTGGCTGTGTGGTTGTGTGACTGTGTGGCTCTGTGGCTGAGTGACTGTGTGGCTGTTTGGCTGAGTGACTGTGTGGCTGTGAGGTTGTGTGAGTGTGTGGTTGTGTGGTTGTGTGGCTCTGTGACTATGTACCTGTGTGGTTGTGTGACTGTGTGGTTGTGTGACTATGTGACTGTGTGGTTGTCTGGCTGAGTGACTGTGTGACGGTGAGACTGTGTGGATCTGTGGCTGTGTGGTTGTGTGACAGTGTGGTTGTGTGGCTCTGTGGCTGAGTGACTGTGGCTGTGTGGGAATATGACTGTGTGGATGTGTGGTTGTATGGCTCTGTGGCTATGTGGTTGTGTGGCTATATGCTTGTGTGGCTCTGTGGCTGTGTGCCTGTGTTATTGTGAGGCTGTGTGGTTCTGTGGCTGTTTGGCTGAATGACTGTGTGACTCTGTGGCTGTGTGGTTGTATGACTGTATGGTTGTATGGCTGTGTAACTGTAGGGTTGTGTGGCTAGGTGACTGTGTGACTGTGAGACTGTGTGGCTCTCTGACTCTGTGACTGTGTGACAGTATGGTTGTGTGGTTGTGTGACTGTTTGACTCTGTGGCTGCGTGGTTGTATGACTGTGTGGTTGTGTGGCTGTGTGACTGCGTAGATGTGTGGCTCTGTGGCTATGTGGCTGTATGGCTCTGTGGCTGTGTGGTTGTGTACCTGTGTGACTGTGTAAATGTGTGGCTCTGTGGTTGTGTGGCTGTGTGGCTGTGTGGGTTTGTGACTGTATGGTTGTGTAGCTCTGTGGCTGTGTGG